CCCTGGGATTTGGAAATCAGGGTTTATGCTTGAGTTTGTGACAACTAATGCACTGATAGGCTTCCAGTAAAATCAACACCAAGTCACGAGTCTTGTGCCACCACACAATAACAAGAATTATGTTGTCAGTGTAGAACATCTGCTGTTTGGACATAGCTAAATCTGAGCCCTGATTAAAAATGTTCAGAAATTGTTCCTTGTGTTGAACAATCCTTATTTTGGTTATGTAAACCTGCTGTCTGGCCACCTTCTTTTCTTTTGTATACCTCCATGTCAAGCAGAGGGTAAATGTCAACCAAAATAAGTGAATTCTTTAGCCCCATCATGTCCAACTTAGCATCCTCCCAGATATCTTGGTCGCCCATCATCCCTACCTAACATGCTGGATCAGTGTCTCTGAAGCTGGGAACAAGGGCAATGCAATCCAGTTGTGGAAGTGTTTATCCAATGAGCATTCTAGTTCTCTAGGAACCTCTCTGTATTCCATTCTTCACCTGGTCAGGTACTCTAACAGCCTATCTATTCCATCTCTTTAGGCACAGACAAGGGTAAAAAGCAAATGGAAGAAAGCTTCTTTTTTCCTGACCCAGTTCCTGGGCACTTGGGCACTTTCATGCTTACCATGGTGCATTCAGTGGTGCTCACGTCCCTTCCAGATCAGCACAGCAGCTATGGATGTTGATGCTCCCACTGCTGTCTTGCTTCTAAGCAGCTTGGCAACAAGGAGCTCAGTCCATGCATGGTACCTCCAGGAAATGTCCTTGAGCATCATAGTGCAGGAGGAGGTCACAATCACCCCAGGCAACCTCCCCTGCTCTCCTGTCTTCCTGCCCATTGACATCAATGGACAGTCACCCAGCCTTTGGAGATGGGCTTCGTAGGATTCATTTGTACTGTATGCAGTGTAATTGTATCTTCTCCCTTTCTATTTGTTTTATGAAACCACCCAAGCACTGATACACCTAGACAAAAATGCAAAAACAATTCCATCCTCTCTCTACATAACATGGATTCCCAATAAAAACATACTGAGAATCCCATGGTTAAAAAAAAAAGGCCATTTCTGGTGGGTTTGCTTATTTGAACAGAACATTTAAGATCTTTCTCACTATCACTGAACATTGATTTAATTTTCATCCACAATGCATTCTAGGACAAAGACCCTGAGCTCTGGGATCCACCAGTGACCGTATCCAAATGGGGTAGCTCTTCTTTGATAGGCACATCAATCAGAGAATCAGCCAAATAGGAAAATTAATGAGTTTTACCATTGCTTTGCTCAGGCAATTTGAATTAAGAAGTCACTGCGGAACATTCAATCATAATTCCATCTGAACTAGCTTTAAAAGCTAATTTATTATTCTCCGAGGTGAACTATTTGGTAAGGCATTCTCTGGTCTGTGCCATAACATGAGCTGGGATGTCATGTGGGAATGGGGACATCCCTGCCCACAACAAAATACATCTATATACAGTATGTGCTGTACCACGATTTGTTTGATTTGAGCTCAGTGTGCTGTTAAACAAACCATGACGTATTATGATGAATGAACCTAGTTTTAGATCCCAAAACGAATTCTAGAGCAGGATGTTGCTTGTTTATGTTCATAGTTGTTTCATCGTAGATGTTTAATCTGAAGAAGTGGGGGGAAAGCTTAGAAGGTTTGAATGCCTCTTGAGATTTGACCTTCCTGATTACAGTTGCTAGGAGACCGTGGGCTAATCTGACTAGTAGATGTGTAAATAAAGGTGAAGGACTATCTGAACTGAACTACTCACTGTTAAACAGAGCCCTCTTTGAAATCTATTCTGAATAGACCAGTTTCAGATGCATAATTTTGGATAGTCAGATGGGAGGCAAATAAAATTGATTAGTTCGCTGGCAAGGTAGTCAAGCAGATAGCGGAAGACAAACTCCAAACTTTCTTTTCAATCCATTATTGGACCCAATTTGGAGTCCAACACCCTGCCTCATTCAGATGTAGAAGACTGTACCTGTGTCAATTTTACAAAACGGTACAGCTTTCAGCAATATGAATTATGGTGGGTTTTTTAGGACAGGACTACAAGGCAGTTTTTCAGGCCTATGCTTCAGAAACAAAATGCGAATGCCTGGGACTCACTTTCCAGAACACACAGTCCACGTTGTTCAAATGTCATTGCCCGACTGTGTTGTTTCGAAGCAGAATGTATAAGAGTTATAGTGATGAAAACACCAAACTAGCCACCAAGAAATCGGCAGTTGTGGTCCCACCTGAGGCACAAAGGCAGCTGGATGACCTGGGGCCAGACACACTCTCAGCCCTAGAAGAACAAAGTAACGGCAAACTACTTCTGAGAAATATTGCTCAATCAATTACTAAAGCTTGTAAAGCTTTAAGAATCACTGATCAGACAGCACCGAAGCAGTCTTCTTTTGAAGTTTGTCTGCTGTGACAGAATTCTAATGAAACAGAATAGAGTCGCCATAGAGGAGTTAAAGCACAATTGTAGATGACCAGGTTGAGCCCAAGGGAGGGGTCAAAAGCATCATCAGTCATGAGTCCCTTCGCACTCACAAGAGTTCTAAGTCCTGCCCACCTTGAATTCCTTTGACTCTCATCTACTGCCAATTTGCTTTGGCTGTTAGTAATTCAGATTCTTGTAGAAAGCTTACTATAAGCTTGCAATAAGCCTTTATGCCCATTTGAACTGTCTGGATCTTCTGATTTCCCTTGAGCTTGACAGCAGTTTTCCAAATTGTGAGGTGTGCGGAGGAAGTGTGAAGAACCTTTTAGTTATAACTAGACAACCTGTGACTTGTTTGGTCATTTCAGAGATATTTCCTTTTTAAACAGAGAAACAGAATGACCACAGGCAGGCAAAAAAGCAATGAAAGAGGGAGTAACTCCTGACTTCCTGTTGGCTTCCCCACTGACTTTCCTTGTAGGAAGCTGGCAGGGAGGCATTGAAAATGACAATCACATAACTGACCATGGCTGCATGATGGTGAGGCAGTGCAGAAGCACTGAAGTGGTCACAAGTCTGCCAAATTTCAATCCCACAGCAGTCATAGGTCCTGGATTTTGGATGTGTTAGTCCATTTGAAATATGTTGATTCGAAAACTGTTGCTCTATATTACACCATTTTGTCCAACTAAAAGTTACAGACACAATTTTTGTAGTGTATAGATAAATGCATCTTTCCCAAAATCTCATTGTAGTGTTTTAATTGTTCATATGTGTTCATTTTGGTATTTGTTTTTTTAAGGGAGGTGTGTACATTAAGAGTTGTGATGGCAAAAAAAATAGGACTAATTTAAAGCACACATCAACACAGTTACTCATCATTCTGTGTCAAGCTGTGTTAGCTAATCTCTTTTTAATAGTGCATAACCTTTTGAATAAAATGTACTTGTAAGTATGAAAATTTATTTCCAAACATTTCAGCTAGCTAGGATATGTCTCTCTGGAATTCCACTGCCCACTAAAGACTTCAGACCTTTTCAATTTTGCAGGTTTTTCAGCGTTTATTTTTGTTGTTTTGTAAGCTCCACTTTAGCTAACATTGTTTGGTCAGCATTTCATCCCCGGAGTTCCACCTAGTATTATCTTTAGCTTGTAAACTATAGAGTATGTGCTGCCTACAAGGGAGGGCGTGGTGGTCAAAATATAATGCAGTTTATCTATTGCAATTGCATAGAGGTTAAGGCACTGGACTAAGAGCAGAGAATGTTGAGCTCTAATTCTGCCTTACACATGGAAGCCAGTTGGTTGACCTTGAGCCAGTCACACCCTCCCTGCCCTAGGAATCAGGAGACAAGGTCAAAGTGCTTCTGAAAATATTGCCTGGAAAACCCCTGGCATTTGTTCATGTAGCTGTCAAGAATCAAGACTGATTTGAAGGCAAAAAAAAAAACATTATAAGTGGGTATCTTGCCTTGGTAGTACTCCATTCTTCTTTGTCTAATTTTTCTTTGGTAGAGATGACAAAAGATGCCAAACAAATAAAACCAAAACACTTTTGAAAATCTTAAATAGACATTAAACGGGGATAACAACTGGTCTAAACATCATGTAATATCATTTGCAAATTTCTTCCACCCCTGAAAATGATTTATGTTTATCCAACCAAACCCCTACAAAATAATGAGCAGACAAAAGTTGCTAAAAGCATTACAGCTCTTCCTTGAAGACCTGCACAGAAGATCACAAGAATCTGCTATCGCTCTTTAGCAAAGACTTTAAAAAAATGCTATATTTATATGCTACCCATCTTCCTGATAAGGCTATTCTGGGCTTCACTACCAAGTCAGAAAAAGCAGTGTCTACCCCCCCCCCCCCAAGAAGGTCTAGAGAGGTTCTGATGGGTAAAAGGGATGAAAGGAAGGTTGGGATTAAGATGATTAATCATTTCATATCTTGCTTGCAGCACTGGCAGCTCAGCCATAAAAGTTAAAGAAAAAACCACTTAACCTGATATGGCTTCTCTGCTTTCTCTGGAATCACTTCCTTTTCTTTGAGCAAAAACACTCATGATTTTTAAATGTAGTCTGCACCAACCATTTGCTCTCCAGATATGACGTGTCCATCCCATCTGGAGGCAACCAGTGTGATGGAACATTGTGGACTGGATTGCCACGAAAGAGGAGTGTATTCCAGAGGAATAAGAGGCAGCTCAATTCAGATAGTTTGTGTAAGAGAAAGAAGGTGGAAGAAACCGCCTCCCTAATAGTTCTCAGAGAATATGCTGGAGTATATAGTAGAGAGCTTCAGTCTGGCAAGATTCTGTCTACAGGTATGGAACAATAAAAAAAATCTACTTGGAAGAATCACCATGTGTCTTTCTTGGTTTGCGGGCCTCACAGTCAAGTACAGAAAGTTGATTAATGGAGGAAGACGTTCTGTATGACAAATGTATACGAGGCGATGCAGGCACAGTCTGTCCCAGATAGAAAAATGTTTAATGTCTCCTTGACAAAGTGAAAATTTTAAAAAAAACACCTGAAATAGTCTGTCACACCTTGATCTCAATGTTTACTTGGAAGCAAGCGTCACTCACTTAAACAGAACATGCTTCTAAACAGGAATGAGCACAACAGCACATTTCAATACAAGAGACACCACTTCACGTGGACTCCTGCATTTCAACCAGCCACATGCACTTCAGAAGACATTTTTGGTCTTTGAGGAAATTCCTGTAGCTTTATGCTCAGCATTGTCCCCAAACCTGCAGTGTTGGCTTGGGAGCGTTTCGCGGTATCCAGAGATAACAACAACAAAGCTAGCTTAGTCTTGAACAGGAGGTCTTCTGCTTGGAGGAAATAAAGACAAATGGGCTTGATGGAAAAGTTGGGTCAGCTTGTAGAGGAAGGGTAGAGAAGTAGGAGATGCTAGGAAGGAAAGAGAAGAGAAAAACAAAAATAAAATTAATGCTACATGCTACATGCTAATTTCCATCTGGCTACAATACACCTCCAACCAAATTGGGATCCCTCTGTGACATTAATGTTTTGCCAAGCAGCCTTCAAGCTTGACTTGATTGCTGACCAGTCACAGATAGGCATCGTTTCAGTTTTCAATCAATCAATCAATCAATCAATCAATCAATCAATCAATCAATGCTCACTCTGAGTGACATGGACTTTGACGCCCCACCCTTTCCTACTATTTAGAAGAAGCCTTTAGTCTTCTGAAACTGGCTGCATTTCTCTGGAAGAAAGTGGATAACTGAGAACAACTTAGAGGTCGGAAAAAAGGAAAGATGCAACATTGCTCTCCAAAGCCTGTGATATAAGAAAATCATCAACAAAATAAATAGGGGGAAAAATGCAAGAAAACAAGGAGGAAACTTCAGCATCCGACATCAAGTCATCCTAAGGAAGAGGTGACATATTTAACTAGAAATATAAAATTAATTATTTTAATGTGTGTCTACTTTTTTATCTGACATTTATTATCTATGTGTATTGTTATGAAATTCTTAATCAACAGGCACCTTCCAAAAAGCTAGTATTCTCCTCATTAAAAGCTACTTGGAATATAGCAATGGATTTTTCACTGTAACCAATTTGCCAACTACTCTACTATATTGGTAATTTGGGTCAGCTCAGTAATTGTGATAACAATCATATCCAATTTATCTCTTATGAGATAGATCTATCTCCTAAGAGCTATAACTGATACCCACATACTTTGAATGACTGTTTCAGGAAGTGATACTATAGGATTTTCTTTTTTATCAACTCATTTTTCTTTTACACACAGTGAGGTGCATGGGTTATATAGGATCTCTATCTCACAGAGGATGCTAAGTACAGGTAGTCCTCGACTTATGACCACAACTGAGCCCAAAATTTCTATTGCCAAGTAAAATGGTTAAGTGATTTTTGTCCCATTTTATGACCTTTTTGCCACCATTGTAAAGTGAATCACTGCAGTTGTTAAGTGAATCTGGCTTCCCCATTGAGTTTGCTTGTCAGAAATTGGCAAAAGGTGATTGCATGACCCCAGGAAACTGTAACTGTCATAAATATGAGTCAGTTGTCAAGCATCTGAATTTTAATCAAGTAACAATGGGATGCTGCAAGTGATACAAGTCACTTTTTTCAGTGACATTGTAACTTTGGTAACCAAATGGTCACTAAATGAACTGTTGTAAGTTTAGGACTACCTGTATAATCATCTGTCTAAAAACAGGTGGAGGCAGCAGTATTTTCCAAACAAGCACCCCAAGACCAGAAGGTAAGGCAATGATTTATTTTATTTAAACTAGCTAGAGTCTACCTAATGACTCTAAACAGCTTAGAGCAGGGGTCCCCAACCCCAAGTCCGTGGACCAATACCGGGCCGGGGCATGCTAGCAACTGGGCTGCACAAACAAGAAAAGTCCCATCCGCGAGATGCGGGCAGCACACAAAACCACACACCTTCCGGTCCACGGAAAAGCCTCTCTCCACGGAACCGATCCCTGGCGCCCAAAAGGTTGGGGAACTCTGGCTTAGAATTTTAAAAAGCAAGAAAAATACCATAAAAAAGAGAGGAATTCATAAGCAGCCTAGAGACAGATGTATATGCAAAAAGGAAGGAAGGAAGGAAGGAAGGAAGGAAGGAAGGAAGGAAGGAAGGAAGGAAGGAAGGAAGGAAGGAAAAAGAAAGAAAGAAAGAGAGAGAGAGAGAGAGAGAGAGAGAACAAGGAAGGAAGGAAGGAAGGAAGGAAGGAAGGAAGGAAGGAAGGAAGGAAGGAAGGAAAAGAAATCCAACGGGTTCCATCCTCAATCAACTCCAACATCTGGGAGATCAGATGGTTTTTCAATAGTTTCCATCAGAGTGGGAGCTTTCCAAATCAAAATTTCCTTTCCCAGACACTCTTTGGGTCCACACATCATGCCAAGGATTCTATGTCTCATATTATTCCCATTATCCATTTTCTCCACTTCCTGCCCCCATGTTCCTAGTTGTCTTCAGATAAGAAACTATTTCTCCAGATGTTTCCCTCCTGCTCCCGCCCCCGTCCCCTACCTGGGTCAAGTCTCACTACAATGAGACACAGCAGGAAGGCCACCAGAAGTGTCTTTTTGAAGGGGAGGGATCTGAACTGGCTTGCCAAAGACTCCAGCATTCTTCTCAGCTGGACCAAGATGTTCAATATCCTTTGAGACGCTGAACCTGCAGTACAAGGGAAAGAAACTTCACAAGGGAGAATGACCAGAACCAAGAACACCAAAAAGTGAGCTTTCTCGTTTCATTTTTTTAAAAGAGGTACGACTTTATATTTTTTGTAGTTTTCATTGAGATATTTAAAAAATAATTAATTGTTATTTGGTGTCCCCAAAGTGCTTTTCAAAAGGCAACTGGACTTTCTTAGTTTTTTTTCCTTGAAAACATTTTGCTTCTCATCCAAGAAGCTTCTATGGTTTAATAGTTCTGAACAGTTCAGAACTGAAGAAGCTTCTTGCATGAGATGCGAAATGTTTTCAAGAAACTAAGAAAGTCCAGTTGTCTTTTGAAAAGCACCTTGGAGACAGCCATGACCTGGATGATTGAGAATCTCCATAGACTGTTATTTAGTGTGTTAATTATACGACCTACATTTGCTTTAATCAATTATTTCTAAAATAAATAAATAATAAAATAAGATTGGATCTAAATTTATCTTGCTGTTTTAAAACAATTGCATAATCCTGCTTTAACAGGCACACACAGTTAATTTCTTCCAAGTGTGTCAAACATTTCTTGATGAGTTTGCCAGTCACAAATAATCAGTTAATCAAATTAAGAAGCTGGTTTCCTTATTCTGAAATAAGACGTAAGCTGTCTATTCCATTAATTAATCTGCTGTGATAGGACTTTATTGCTCCTTATTTATACTAGCCCTGTAAAATATAAATTGCAGCAAATTTGTTTGGAGTTCCGATAACATGCTACACTTTAAAATGACTGGTCACTTTATGTCTCACTGTATTTTTCAAGATTATTAATAACTGTTAGATGATCTGTTCACCTAGCTTAGTAGCAGCTCGTCTTAGTGACAGCGATACTCTATGATTCCACTCTTTTTCCTTTAACTTTTTAACATTTCCTAAGTCGTATGTTAAAAAGTACTCGGTTGATATACGGAGATTCGATTCCAAGAGGGGATTTACCTTAGATCTGGACAAAAACGAAGGCTGACTTTAACAACATCAAAGGTAGACGGAGTTCCCCTTACAACGACCCTTACCTTACCGTATAGTTAATTTGGATAATAATACTAATCGTGTAGATCTTGTTGTGAAATACAAAGAGCCAATCTGTGATGCAAAGGGACAAAGAAGGTTGTGAATCTTTTCTCTCCTTGGACCTGTTCAACATGTTTATCAAGAGAACTCTGCTCGTGCAATCAATCATTCAGGTGTATAAATCTCCTGTCTTGAGCAGGGGGTTGGACTAGAAGACTGCTGAGGTCCCTTCCAGAAATATGATTCTGTGTTCTGTATTCTATTGTATGTACCTAAGGAAATAGGACTACCAGAACGGAGCAGCCAAATTTTAGCACTGAATGGTGATGCTTTGACCAAGCTGGTACCACTGCTTTATCAGAAGTTCAATGCTCATTGCAGGCATAGCTGCAAATGATTTTACAAGACACCCAGAGTTCCAGCTACAAGAATCCTACCCAAATGCAGCTTCCATGATATCTCTGGGTGCTCCTCAGGAATTGGAGATGCTTCTTCTTTCTGTAGCCACTGATCCTTCTTCTCTTGAAGGATTTTGTGCATGTCTTCTTGCTGCTCTTGGCTCAAAGCTTTGCAATCTTGGATCAGCCCCTCTGCTGCTGAAAAGTGTCCGAGTGGCAAGAGCACATGAAAGAGATAAAGCTGAGCCAACAGGCCATAACTTGACAAGTTCTGATTGGATGGGCAGTATAACCAGTCCCCACCAACCTCTAATACCACATGAGGTTCTTCCACTTTGCTATGGAGAAGGATGCTGAAAGAGAACATATAAATAACACTCTAGGTCATATTTAACACATTCATATTTCAATTGGACCCGTCTTAGGCATTCAAAAGTGCCACATACAAAGTACCAGTAAGATGTAACATCCATGGGCCCTAATGGATGCAACAGATTGCAGTAATTAGACCTCCTAGCTTTTATTTAAATAATAATAATAAAGAAATGGGGAAGTTAGCAAAGTGAAGGGTGTGCCCCCAGCCGAATCTATATTTCCAGCAATTCTTAGGGTTTTATGAGAATTCTCAGAAGATTGAAATTAATGAAAAAGCTTAGTTTGGCCATGCACCTATTAGAAAAAAAGAGCTAGTGAGATGGTTGTATTCATCCAAAGAAGCTAGAGGGGAATAGGGTTCAGCTAAAATAATTATTCTATATAGATGTAGTATTTATGGGAGATAACTTTTGACAAAATTTTGCAAGACTCGTTACCTAGGCAAAGGGGCCCAAAATATTATTTAAGTCTCGGGAAACAAAATATTATTTAGAACTAGCTCAGGTAAAGGTCTCCCTGATTCACTGAGTTATAAAAGTCTCCTTGCTATCACTGGGGAGTGATAGCACAATCAGACGTGTAAGATTCTGGTATTATGACAAAACTCAATCAAGTGTGGTTCTAGTCTTCCTATGGAGAGTTGAAGACTCTAGTCTTCCTGTGGAAAACAGAAGGTTTTCTGGTCTGGTCTACAAAGGTGAAGTTGGCAGAAGGTAGAAAGAAAACAACTGTCCAAATGTCAACAGGGGGATTCAAAAGATGTCTTCATTGTTGACTTTTGAGGTGCCTTTCTATGGTAGAAATGAAAAGATTAATAGGTTTCTGTGACATATGCTTAATACTTACATTAAAGAACTGAACCAGGTGCATATTAGTTATATATATATATATATATATATATATATATATATATATATTATTCACCACTGCTCAAAAGGCACCGTGCCTCCAATGCCTCGCTATTCCTGCCACTTCCAGCATGCCAGGTAGTCCTTCATTTGTAGGGTTGCCAGGTCTGCTTCCAAAAAATAGCGGACAAGCGGGGGGGGGGGGGTTTAAGTAGTAAAAAAAGTAGATTGTACAGCTTTAGATTACGTACCATTTCATCATAAAGCTTTTGAATAAAAAAAATGTCCACTATTTTGTGAAAAAAAATAGTGAACATAATGTGAAAAAAGTGGACTGTCCACTCAAATAGTGGACACCTGGCAACCCTATTCATTTGCCTTAATTTTTCATTTATCAGTGTGGCTTCTTCCCCTCTACAAGCTGTGCAAGCCTGCTTTTAGTTCATTATTATAATTATGATCTAGATCAGGTATGGGGAATGATGGCCCTTTTATGACTTGTGGACTTCAACACCCAGAATTCCTGAGCCAGTCATGCTGGCTCAGGAATTCTTGGAACTGAAGTCAACAAGTCATAAAGGGGCCATCATTCCCCACCTCTAGCTAGACAGATGGGATTATTATTGTTGTACTACCTTCACCTGTTACCGATTTAAAAAAACCTCTAAAAAGTATTTTTTACTCGTGTGATGGGTTATTTTCTGAGTATCCAAAGTTCTTTTCAACATCCCAGATGTGATCCTTGGGCCCCCAACTTTTCAATACATTTTAGTTTTATTCAGAAGGTTAAAATACAAACTCCAAAGAAGAAAACAAAATACAAAAGCAAAGCAAAACTAATCAAGACCCCCCCTCAAAAAAGGAAAATAAATGTGCATAAAAAGAAAACATATTCATAAATTATTCCCCCTAGTTGAATACTGATACATTTCAAGAATAATAGTTTCCCCCTTTGTGAAACCCAGCTTACAAACTTCTACAACTCTGTTTACCCACCCATTTGGCCTGACATCTATCTACTATATATAAAAATTTTCCGTATCAATTGTTCATTTTGGTTGTCATCTCAATTTCCTAAGTTGAGTAGGATACATCGTTGTATTTCTACCCTTTTGAAAAGGACGGTACTTGACACAATATCGGTTCTATTAAATCGTGTTCGATTGTTCAATTCACAAGAGAAAGAGGGGTAGGGTGTCCTACAACCTCTAGACGAGAATTGACTCATCTGAAGTTTCCCACCTCTTACTGCCAAAGCTCCATCTTATTGTCTTTTCTTCCTCAACCTGCCTGACTGGAGTGAGGGTACCCACTCTAATATAATAGACTTGAGTGCACGAGAGAGAGGTTAGGTTTCATCAATTTGTCTGGATCATGGACTGCACTGGTTGGGCATGAGCAAATCCTATCTTTTCAGCTTAACCCGCCTCACAGGCTCATTATGACCATGAAAATGAGCTAGCCTGGTATAAACTATCCTGAGCTGGTTTGAGAAAAGACAAAGATGACTAGAGATGAAGGAGATGATAAAACAGAGACACACTAATTACCGGTATCTTAATGGGTCTAAGGACGGCAGAGAATATTTAATTCAAACACTATCATCATTTAAAGACTCGTTTGACAAGGACGTCTTAAATTTTCAGCTGGAAGTTTGCCGTTTTCTTCCTCTCCTGTCACCCAGATGTTGAATAAAAGACAATTTATCCAAACAGTCAAAATAACTGGTCACACAAAGTATTTTTTCAAAGCCAGACATTTTCCTTTTGGTGAGAAACTGTATAGTTCATTAGTCCTGGGGGAAAAAAATCCAAGTTGATAGGGCCTAATCAATCAATAGCTCATTGGAAGAATACCTGCTTTATAGTAACTTCCATGTTTAACTATTGACAACTGTCATTGAAAAGGATAAGAGAGCAGAAGACAGTAAAATTGTCTGCCAGAAACTCTGGAAAACTGTTATTTGGAACAAAGAATACTGGATTAATATGATCTTGTCTAAGGAATCTTCCTGAATTTGTTAGTATAAACACTGCTATCATAATTGAATGGCTTCAGCCAAAGAAGGATCAAATATAAGATGTTTGATCTTTAATCTGCTGATCAGTTTTAGAAAACTGTATATCACCTACTAGCTACTGAAATTCTTGCAAAAAGCGTCTATTCTTAAAAAAAATAATCAAAAAGCCCCCCCCAGTGTATTTAGGCAAGAATGCAACTACAAGACTGTACAATTTTACTTCACCTGCTGTACTAAGGCTGTACAATTTTACTTCACCTGCTAAAACAATTTAAGTACTTGCTTTCACTTTGGAGAGTTAACATCTAGGACCACAATGATTTGAGTTTTGTTTTTGTTTTTTTAAATGGAATTACATCCCCACTGAAGATTAGAAATGTCTTAGTAGAGCAGAAAAAATTCTAGTTTAGACTGACACTGATTTAAGCAACATTCATCTAAAAACTTGACAGAATAGTTGCCTGGTATTACACTAGATTTACCGGGGTAGGCAACCTTGGCTCTTTTATGACTCGTGGACTTCAACTCCCAGAATTCCTGAGCCAGTCGTAAAAGAGCCAAGGTTGCCTACCCCTGCACTAGAACAACAGGAGCAACATGCCTGGAAGTACCCATAATTCTAGAGTAAGATTCAATTACAAATGTTCTTGATATTTAACTTATTTTAGGTGGAAGCTCTTTACACAATCTATTATTCCTGCTTGGGGTGGAGGAGCAGTAGCTGGTTTGCCATTCAGACACAGAAAAAGGGAACTCACCAGAGCTCCAGAATTTTGGGAGGCCAACATTCAGGTTTGGGGTAGTACTGAAGAATCCATGGGAGGACCTCTCTCCATCGATCCATCTCTGCCAGTGCTTGGATACCAACAATGCACAAGGAGCATTTCAGATCTTCAGAGCTGGATCTACAAGTCAGATAACATTGTGTATGTGTACATTAGTGTGCAACCAAAAAAAACAAACAGAAAAACTGCAGTCCCATAAGCAATCCAATTGCAATCTCTGCTCCAATTCTAAGGATGGACCAGATTCACATCAGTTTGCGTACCCAAACATATTAGGGCTCATGGCATAAATTAATCATCAAGATCCATTTTCCAGTTTGCAAATCTGCTAACAAAAAGCTTGACTTCTTTATTGTGAGTGTGCTTGGTTTAGATACAAGTAGTCCTTGACTTATAAACTGTTGCTTAGCAATCACTCAGTTAAGACTGACCTCCCAAAAGGGTACTTACCACCTGGTTCTGAAATTCCAACAGTATCACATCTTGTAATTATATGACTACTTGTCGGGGATTCAGCAGCCAGCTTGCATTTATAACTGTTTGCAACGATCCTGTAGTCACGGGACTGTTTTATGACTTTTGCCAAAAACCAGCATGTATTTCTGGTTTTGACAAAAATGCTCCATTAACTAACAAACTTCACTTTACAACTCCTACAAAAAAGGTCATAAAACTGGGTTACCCACATGACTGGCCCACTTTATGACTGTCATGACTAAGTTATGACCATAATCAGCAGGCTCCATTACAGTCATAAGTGGAGGACTATCTGTATCATTGCTGTTTCACTGTTTTTCTTCAGTTACATTTTATACAGGTCAAAAGACTTGGAGACACACACACACACACCGCTCAAAAATTAAATAATGTGTCTACCAGTCACTCTTTTAGTGTCCCCATATACCTCCCCTTCATTCCTTAACTACTCATGCTAATAAATACCAGATAAATAAAAATAAATAGCTATAAACCATTCCCTTAAAAGCAGAGATAAGAAAATAGGTTTTGTGCAACTCCAATTTTGATCAGCCCAAACAAGCACAGCTAACAAAACGGATGGGTAAAGTAGTCCAACAACATTTAAAGAACGCCTGCTCGAAGCAGGTTCTGAATTCTCACTCTTCATTCCAGTTGGCACCTACCCGTCAGAATCGCCCTCCGGTTCCAAAAGGCTCTGGCAGCCTTTCTCACATCTGTCCACCGCTGCAGCAAAGTCCCTGTCCAAAACCAGGAGTTCAGCCGCTTCTTCTAATAAGGAAGCTGCTTGGGGTGCCGCTGGAGAGAGAAGGCTGGGCTCGCTGCTTCTCAATAGGCCCCTTGCCCTAGCGATGGCAGACAACATCACCGACGGATCGTTCCTCATTATGGCATGATCCTCAAACTCAGCTCTGCTGGAAGCCTGGGGAAATGTTAGACAACAGGGCGTGGATCAGTTTTGGAATTTGATTTGATGATTCTTGGGTTCTCTTAATACACTTCCACGCCTAACCCCACTCCGGTCCATGCAATTAATTGCTAACAAAAAGAAGCAGAAGAGATTCGAGGGGATTGCAACAGCTAGTACTGTATCCTACTAAGAGATTTCACCTTGCATTCTTCAGTACCCAAGAGAAAAGTCCGTGCAGCGATAACGATCTGGGCAAAGCGAAAGACCAGCTCCAAGTGTAACTAAGCCAGGGTGGTTTATTGGCTCTGTAGATCCTTGTCCCAACCCCTTTTTTTTCTAATCCTTGCAAAAACAACCAAAACGCGCTTTCTTCACCACTGGCTGCAAAAGAGATCCTACGCCCGTCTCTGCTTCCCCGGGACGTACGAAGTGCATTTGCTGCAACAAAGCCCAGATGCCTTTTGCTTTCAGTGCAAAAATTATAGGATCACGAAGGAGAAAAAAGCTGGTTGAGGAATTCCGGACTACAACGACCAGAAGGCTCCTTTTACAGGAAGTAGTTTAAAACAGGAGGAGCAGGAGGCGGGGCGGGGATTCGTACCGTAACGGCAAACCTTAGCTTGTGTTTGTTTTGCGCTCTTGTTGCGTTTTGCAAATACAGCGGGAGGCCTGCCTTTCTAAAGGTTTCTCAAATGATCTTCCTGGATTTTTAAGGATTTTTTTCTGCATGCTCCGATATTGATATATTTCAATTCCAGCCCCTCCCGCCCAAATTTCTAATTAGCAACTGTCTCAAAGTCAAGTCTATGCTAGGTTACCTTTTTTTTCTAATGCGAGGTAAAATGATTGGTATTCATAATTTGGGTGGCTAATCTGGCACCACTACGTATGATTAATTTCGATGAGATATGTGCTTTTGAGGAGCTTTTATTCTTTTTCCTCGTTTTACATAGAAAAACTGGTCTGCATGAGATAGGCTAAATTTCCTTGGTGCTCTCTGAGCTTGCTTGCTTGTTGCTTGACTCCTCACTAGCACTGATGATGTTACCTAGTTAGGGTAATGAAACGTTTGCAAGAAAACAAGCAAGCTTAGAGAGCACCAAGAGTCCTCATTTCAACCCTGAGCTACAAATATTCTCCTTCATAGGCTAAATGTGGGTTACCTAATTTGGTAAGTGAAGTTCTCATTGATCTGGGTTTCTCAACATTGGCAAGTTTAAGATGTGTGGACTTCAACTCCCAGAATTCCTCAACCAGCATGCTGGGGGTTTGGAAGTCCACCATCTTAAACTTGCCAAGGTTGAGAAGGTCTGGTTTAAGAATCTTTGCACTAAACTATCTTTGAGACCAGGTGTCACCGCCCACAGGGATTATGGGGGGGGGAAATTACCACTGAGATTTTGGGGCCATGATAACTTGGCATTATGGGAGTTGGAGTCCAGTATATCTGAGGGCACCTGTTCTCTCTTTCCTTAAAGGCTGAAAAAAATGCAATGGAATTTTTAGACGCCTAGCCACTCCATTACATGAAGTGAGCTGTATCTCATGAAAATTTATGTTTTTCAATATGATTTGTTAGTCTGAAAAGATGCTTCCAGACTCCTGATTTTTGGCTATAGTCGGCTAATATTGCTGTTCTCTTACAATAAATAGATGTATTTCTTCTTTCGAGTCACAAGGTGTCACTCCAACCATGCATTGAGTTGAGTTTAAGACTAATTTAAATTTGAAAATAAGACTTGATAAAATAATGCGTGCTACACTCACTAATATTCCTGAATCATATATGGTGGATTTCCATAACACACTAGCCTAAATCCTACTTTGGGCACATTACACCAAGACCCAGCTCTTGAAGAAGATACTAATGCAGGGAAAGGTAGGAAGAAAGAGAAGATAAGGACGAAAATCAGCAAGATTAATGGATTCAGTTACAGTGATGACAACCTTTGGATCTGAAAAAGGTGAGAGATAAATCACCACGGAAAAAATCTGTGTGGTTGCTAGGAGTAAAAAATGACTAGGTAGCACATAATCAATCAAGTCTACATTGTTTGAGTGGACCTATAAATACAACATACCCTGATATATGTACCAAAGGATAACGGTGTTACGTGAACACAATTCCAGAGTGTTAATTAACTTCAAGGAGAGGAAGGGCAAGCCCACTTTCCTTTCCTGAATGTCTGTATGTCAGTTTATTCAGAGATGCTGAGAATGATAGAGGTGATTTTGGAGAAACTGTTATTAAAACTTGATTTAAATCCAGGATAGGAAGAAAACATTAGAAATAAACTCAAATTACTTCTCCCTTAACTCTCTGCAGTAGAAGAGAGAAGGGGAAAATATATTGTGGGGCTTCAAGATTTATGCCAGCCCTTCAAGCTGGGCCTGATCAGGAAAAGATTCCGCAAGGAATATTGAAACTCAGCTTTATTGATACAGGCTAACATAACAGAATCTTGAAGATTTAGGAGATTTAGGTGGAGTTAGTATTTCTTTCAAATCTTTTCTTCCTGTTTTGGGCTTAAGTCATGTTTTGCTAACTGCTGTGGCCTAATTAGTCCAAGGTCATCTCTGTGGCTCTTGACAACAAGCCAACTGGGTGCTTGTCAAGAAGATCCTGCAAAATACTATCAGGATTACATTTTGCTTGGAGAAGCAGAAATGATCAACATTTTCCTAATCTTTTACTAGGATCCAGCTAATCTGAAATGGGAGACCAACAAATCCTATCATGTGGCTTATGTGAGGCAATTCCTCTTTTACTATACTTGGTTTTATTTCAAAATGCTAAAGACTGCATCTTTTTTCCAAATAAGGAATTTAAGGGGTTATGATAAAATCAGAAATTTAGCTGCACAGTAATGAATCTAATCTACAGGTGCATTCAGTATCAACTTCACCCTGAATTTGAGCAAATAAACCAGTGGTTTAAAAAGAGACCAGAAGAGTCCTTAGCTGAGAACTACATTTTCCAGGATGCGTTATGACAGATGCCTGACTTATACCAGCCTGTGCCCTGTTTGAATTCCCTAATATGGAAAAGGATTCAGTTTTGACAGTTGCTTAGTCCTCAACAATTCTTTTTCTGTGTCTAAAAATGAAAAGGAAGAGAAGAATTGAAATAAGAGGTTGAGGTTAAGTAAGTTAACAGTCTGTATATATTCAAACTTGCATGTTTGTTTTTAAAAGACAATCAAGATTTGGTTTACAGCAATGCTTCCAAAATCTGGGTAAATTACCCCAAATTGGGTGAAAATTGTTTTTACTTGGGGAATGACATATAAACATCCCAATCACAACAGAGACACTTACATTGACTTAAAGTATTTTACCTATAAAGGGACTTTCTAGTAAGTGGTTTGGAGTGATAAAGTTTGGAAACAATTGGTCCACAGGGAGGATAAAGGATTGCAAGACTTGTTTTTGGGAGTAACTGTAAATGTCCATATCTCAACTTCTGCTAAGCAGCAAGGCTACAGTCAAGCATAAATTAATCCATAGTTTTTAAGATAATTAATTGTATCCCCTGGCATGAAAGCAAGCCCCATTTAATGATAGGGGAACAATGCCTGACCTTATTTGTTTGTTTGTTTGTTTATGATCAAAGAATGCAAAGCCATTACCTCAGGTATAACCTGTGGCTTCATCAGCCCTAGACATATTCCTACAAAATTAAGTAATTACTGCGTAATCCAAGTATAGATTCTTGTGAATGGCTGCACCAACAACAGCATCCATTTCATGAGAGTGGACACGGTGTGATCTCAAAATTCCAAATATGTCTTTAAGGGAATTTTGAGTATTGTTTCTTGTCCAATCCAGCCGAAAGATAAAATATGCCCTTCAAACACATCAATTGCAGAGAGACAAAGCTACTGCATGTGTTAGATTTTCCTACTGGGATCAATCATTGCCTATGTAAAAGAAGAATTTTGTGTAACAGATTGGCATTCAATATTTTGAATGCAAGTTAATTTCATAAAAGGTGCTGACTCGCCTTAATTGTAGCGCAATCAACCCAATTTAAAATTTTCTAAATTAGTGCTATTGAAGAGATTAATGACATTTTCTGTCATGGCAGATAATTGTTTTGCACTGATATAATAAATACTTTGGGGAATGCAGGTTTTCCCATTTCCTCTTTTGCCCTACAGAGTGTAGTGTGAGACTGCACAAAATCAATCTCTTGATTTTCGTAGCACCTAGACTTGTAATTTAATATTAGAGGCTGAAATAGAAGCAGGTGAAAATTATCATCAGCTCAACCACATGGTAAGCGACACCAGGCCAGCTGTTCCTTTTGGAAGGACAAAGCACTTAGGGGACCCAAGGTCACGAAAGGAGTTGAGGAGACCCTGCTTAGAATAAAACAGGTTTAAAAATATGCTGCAATTTGATATTTTCTGCATAAGCACAATTATATTACTTTGAAAAAAAATCATTATCAGTTTTAAAACCTTACTCTGAACTCCCAAAGATGCTTTTTCCAAAAGGCAATTGGACTTTCTTGGGGGTTTTTTTTCCCTTTGAAAATGTTTTGCTTCTCATCCAAGAAGCTTCTTCAGTTCTGCTTCTTGGATAAGAAGCAAAATATTTTTGGGAAAAACTCCCAAGAAAGTCCAGTTACCTTTTGGAAAAAGCACCTTTGGGACAGCCATGACCTGGATGATTGAGAATCTCCATAGACACTTACTGGTTACTGTATTGTATTGTACTTACCTCGTTTTACCCACTTCTCCGGTAACCCCATAATTTTGAAGTTGAAAGGCAGAACTTTCTTTCTATGCATGATTTCCACCTTTACCTGTTCACTTGTTTCTAGCTGCTTTTATATTTTTCCTAGTTTTGGACGCCACCCAGAATCTACTGGAACATTTTAATGTACTTGTTTATCAAGTTTAGATATCACCCATCTCACTCTCGGGGTGACTCATACGCTGATTTGGAGACTTGGACCATAAACTGAAAACTTATCTGAATCAGTTTCTCCCACCACCCAAAGCAGAATTTGCCAAAACCCAGGCAACACTCAAGGACAGGAAGAAGGGGATGTTTCCATCGCAACCTAAACTGGCCCATAGATCATCCCATAGGGCTGGGGTGATCCTGCCCCAAAGATCACCTGACTGCACTACAGCCAGTGATGCTTAATGAAGTACCTCAGATTGCTCCATGGCAAAAACTGTTATCATTTTAAGTCACGGGTAATCCAACTTGGTCCTTTTATGATTTGTGGACTTCAACTCCCAGAATTCCTCAGCCAGTGTGCCTGGCTGAGGAATTCTGGGAGTTGAAGTCCACAAGTCATAAAAGGGCCAAGTTTGAAGACCCCTGTTTTACGTGGTTAAGCATTAGCTTAAAGCAGGTAGAGATAGGATTGGTTCATGTCTGAATTGTGAATGAAGACAATAATATAAGGACTCCTGGGAACATTTATGTTTCAGTTAGATCTAAACAAGAAATGTACTAGAGAGGCATATATGATCAACC